AAAAAAAAAGAAAAAGAGAAAGGAAGAAGATGAACAGAATTTTTTTATTTTATTTTTTTAAAATATAAATAGTAATAATGTGAGTTAGCATGAAAAAAAATTCACATCAACACGTTTTCAATTTGTTTTTGCCATGTCATCAAAAAAATTATAAAAAATGCCACATAAGCGAGTTAATGATCAAAATTAACAGAAAGATTAACGGAGTGCATTTCTTAAAGTTTAGGGATCAAAAAAGTGCAAAAAAATTATTAAGAGACCAAAAATGTGCAACTCACTAAAGTTGAGGGACCAAATTTAGCATTTAACCTTTATCAATCATACCCCCGCAAATTTAAGAATTCCTTATGCTAAAACTACAGTATATCTCCGATAAACTCACCTTAGTTTTATTTATCTTGAATAAAACTGTTTTTCTTTGAAAGGGAGGGGCCCACAAACAACGGTGGCAACAAAAAAAATATCCTAATCGGTTTGACTGTTTAACTTAACGGTCGATAAAATACACCGTTAGCTTACATTGACGGAGGGACGACATTAGCATGGTTTTGCATTGTAGAGGGATGACAGGTAGAGTTAATTAATAGTAGAGGGACGACATGAAGCCAATCCATAGTAGAAGGTTTAGAATGCACTATTTTTTATAGTAGAGGGACGATAGATGGCTTTAACCCTTTATAGTATAAACTGACTATACCAAATGTGATATTTACCCACCATAAGTAATTTTGAATTCACCTACAAGATAAATTCGAGTTAAGAGTGATTAATTTATGATATATTTGATTTAAGATAATAATTAAGTTACAATATTTCAAAATTTAACCTATTTTTTTAACTAATCTTTAAACTATTTTAATTGATTTAAAATCAAATCGCAACAAATCCTCCAGAAAGTTGTTAGAAATCTCTCTTGGTATTTTTTCATTCACAATGGAGATATTATCATCGAAAGAAATCGAGTTTACATGCTGTTAGGAAGCGGGCGGATCCGCTGTTTGAGTCTAATATCTGTCTACGCACTCCTATAAATACCGAAAACCCAGACGAAAGCCTCTCTTTTACCTCCTATTTCTGCGCAGATCCAAAAAAACCCTAGAGAGGTGAGGGAGAAGGAGAGTACAACAGTCGGGAAATTCAGAAGCAAAACAGATCGAGGAAGAAATCCTCGTCTCTCACCTCTCTGCGCCGGCGATCTAAATCTCATTTTAGGTAACTCTCAATTCCTGCAATCTCTCTCTATATCTGTTGATGAAATCTCTTCCTTAGATCACTGTAGCTTTATGTCGTGTTTGTTTTCCAGTGTAAAATAGTTTATCACGGGAAAATCGTTGCATTTAACCTGGAAAGTGAAGTCGAATCGCTGATATTCCGGTTTTGTTGATTGTCCTCTAGTGGCCTATGTTTTCCGGTTAACTCTCGCTAAAATTTTCTTCTCAATATCACTTAATCTGCTTATTTAATTTTAATTGGGAATTTAATATATTTTTATTTTGAATAAAGAGTTATAATTTCTGGAGATACTTTTGGGGAGTAATTTTATAATTTTTTTTTCGTAAGAAATGGGGAAATGGCTGAAAATATTAATGCCAAAATTTTATATTCAGTTGGTTATTATGTGGATTAAATTATTTGTTTAGTTGTTTAGCAGAGATCAGAAGGTGATGGCGTCTGCAGTGCAGCAAGGTCCAGCTGTAATTCCCAACCCAACTGCTGATGTTGTATGCTTCCCCCCTAAACATGTTGATGCGTTTTTGTGGAGTTTTGATCTTTATGTTTCAATAATTGGCTTTAAATGAAATTTTTATGAATTTAGGTTGCAACTGCATTTGTCCATCAATACTACAATATCTTGCATCAATCACCCGAGCATGTTCACCGATTTTACCAGGATATTAGCAAACTTGGTCGTCTTGAGGAAAATGGAATAATGGGTATCACAACAACCATGCAGGTAATTCTCTCACTGACACAATTAGCCAGCCATCTGAGCATAAACAAACATACATGCATTACTTTGTTAGAGTTTGCACACTGTACTCTCATCGAACATGATTGCTTGTGAAAATCAATGTAATTTATGTGTGGTTGCCCACAGTAACTGCTGAAGGTAATTTACCAGTGTAACTTGGATCAGTGTTGTCAAAAGTGGTGAAGTGAAGCAATTAGAGGCACCACTTCTTCAAAATTTCCTAAAGCTCTCTTCTTAAAAGCAGTCCCAAAGCGATTGAAGTGAAGTTGAAACAACCCCTTCTTTAAAAAGACCCCAAAATACAAAAAACCCTTATAAATAAAAAATGTATAGGAGCATTAAGGGTTAAAATTGGAATTTTGGCTCCAATTAGGGCAGAAAGAGGAAGTTTCTGTGCTTGCCAACCACCCCTAATTTTCTGTGACTTCATTGTCTTCTGACTTTATCATCTTCTTGAGTCCCAACTTCATCAGTTCATCTGCAATTAATAGGAAAGTCCTTTCTCATTTCATTTTTTTTTTCTTAATTTGCATAATCTCCTTCCCATCTCTTCTTCTTCCCTGACTTCATCCTCTCCCCTGACTTTATCCACATATTGTCTTCTATTTTTTTTTATATCAGCAGATTATTTTAATTTAGTTAAGATAAAGTTATATGGAAATAGAAACAAAATTCTCTAGTATTGTCTTAATTCTATGCATTTCCTCTTTATCCCTCCCTTTATTTTTCGGTTCTATGTCTTGTTGGTAGAACTTCTAGAGTTGAAATCTATATAGTTTAGGGGACCTTGATTAAGAAACTTAATAGGCAGTTTTTCACTTTATAAGACTCCTGAATTTTAATTCCAAAGCAGAATTTAGTTCTACTTGCACTAAGTAGAATTTAATTTATAAACCTATTACTTGCACCCTATTTTACTTTTCCACTCTTAATACTCTAAGTTTCTATTCTAATTAATTATATTCTGTTTAATAATTGATCACTTCAAAGTGTTACTTGTTTCACTTCAAAGAATTTGAGATTCTGGAGCAGGATATCAATGAGAAGATACTCTCCCTTGATTATTTAAACTTCAAGGCAGAGATATCAACTGTGGATGCACAAGACTCTCATAATGGGGGAGTCCTTGTTCTTGTGACTGGTTTTCTGACTGGGAAGGATAATTTGAGGCGGAAGTTCACGCAGAGTTTCTTCCTGGCCCCCCAAGACAATGGCTACTTTGTTTTAAATGATGTGTTGAGATATGTTGATGATGCCATATATCAAGATTGGAACAAGGGTCCTGTTAATGATGTTGAAGCGCCTCTGATACCTGAGAAGGGTACTTGGAATCCCAGATTACCTTTTATATTGCAACTTTGTTATATCCCATAATTTTATTTTGGAGATGCCTGTTTGTAGATGCTTCACTGGCTGAGGAGAACCACCTTGCTGAAAAACCATATGTTTCTGCTGAGGAAGTCAGTGGGGCTGAAGTTTACAATCCTACCTGGAATGAGAGTTGTGCTGTTACTGTTGGGGAAGAGGAGGTACCTGTGCCTGAGGTTGTTGATGAAATTCCTGATGATTCACGGATTGTTGCTAATTCTAACTCCAAAACTGAAGAAGTTCCAAAGAAATCATATGCATCTATTGTGAGCCACTATCATTTCTATTATTTTTTTTAGTTTTTGCGATTTATCTGCTTTGGTATTTACTGCTCTTACCTTGCAGGTCATCAGAAAAATTTGGCCTTGTCTAGCATGGGTGTTCATATAGCTAATTTAGTTATTATATTCATCCTCTAGGTGAAGGTCATGAAAGAGAATGCAGCTCCTGTATCAGTACCTGCACATTCTCCTGTGACAGTACCTGCACATTCTCCTGTGAAATCTGTGGTTAAAAGCCCTGAGCAACCTGCAGCTGCTGTAGCACCTCCAGCCCCAGCATCTGAAGCTCAGGTTTCAAGCACTATTGTTCTTGAAAATGAGAACAATCGAGATGGAGAAGGTCTACAATCCTTTCTTATTCATGCTTGTATTTGTTCATTTTCTGCTATACAATAATTATGTAAATAATAAATTTACTTTTCTTTCTGTATGTTTACGACTCCAATTTCTTTTTAATATTTATTTATTTATTTCTGAACAGCTGAGGGTCTCTCCATCTATGTCAAAGGTCTGCCTGCGAATGCAACACCTAGCATGCTGGAGAATGAATTTAAAAAGTTTGGACCTATCAAGTGTGATGGTATTCAAGTTAGAAGCCAAAAGGTACCCCATTAACATATTTTCAATGTGTTAGATAGTGATAGTGACTGTATGTAAAATTAATAGTTATTGTGCATTTTACAACAGGGATTTTGTTTTGGTTTTGTGGAGTTTGAAGTGGCAAGTGCAGTGCAGAGTGCAATTGGGGTAGGTTTCAGTTTTTTCTCTAGCAGCTTTTATCCTATTTTCAATTGTAACAATTTTGCAACAAGCATAGACTATTTCTTGGCATCAGATCATATTCAAACAAGTTCGGATATTTTGGTTTCTGCCAAGTGCCATGAACATAGCTTTTGATTTATATCTTGGAGTTGAGTTTTTTATCCAGTCAATTTTCATAGTGCATGCATATGATTTTAGTGTTAGTTCTACCTGAGTGGTGCTGTCTTTGTTTCTATATATATAGTGAGGACATGAACCTGTTAACGTAGCCTTTATTAGGGGGAAAATGATTTGTCAAAAACTTTTATTTATCTCTAGGATATCTCTTACTCTGTTTGGAAGAAGACAATTGGATGATGCAAATTCCTTTTTATGTGTTTTGAGAGGATTGGAGAGAATTTATGGTGTATTATATGGATAGTTGTCAAAATTGCGATTTTACTTGCAAAATTGTATGATTTTACAATTTTAAGTATCAAAATTGCTATAAATCTAAGTTAAAATCGGAACCTCATAAACTAGGGTTCAAAATCATAAAATTGTAGCAAAATTATAAAATTGGATAAAATCAAGATTTTGCAAATTTAAAAGGTTTTATGGTTTTTTGTGTCATAATGTGATTAATAATCCCTAGCAGCGCATTGGTGGAGCGGTGCTTGTTACTTATTTATGGGTTGTTTTGTAGTGGTTCAAATCTTGGCCATGTAATTTGGCCTTTTTGGGTTATCAAGCAAAAATTTTGAGGTTTTATTAAGTTTTTATGAGTTAAACTAACAATATTTCATTATGAAATTTTTTTGAGGTCAAAACCATTAAAATTTGAAGCAGTTTAATAACTATGAAATAAAAAAAACTCAAAAAGGACTTGAAATAATTAATTGGTAATTAGACTTAGATAAATTTTAAATTTGAACATTTGATGTTAAATTTTAGTAATATATAAAATTTAAATTAATTTAGTAAACTCTCGATTTTACCAATTGGATTTTATTATTTTGATTTTACCTATCCAAAATGATTTTACGTAAACTCTCGATTTTTACCAACCTTGATTATATGTGATAACTGTGATGGGAAAAGGTTGAATGGTGATTGCAATGTAAAATTGTAGAGGTCATAAAATACTTAGAACTCTATGGCAGTTTGGGCTAGAGGCAAGGGGTTTTTGTCACCTGACCAAATTTATCTGAGAGACTTCCTTCAGTTGGTTATTATTGGATGAGTCCTGACTTGTTGAAACTCTAATGGGATAGTAGCTGTAATTAGGCAATGATTGAATAATCATAAGTTAGTGAACTACAGTTCCTCTCATCATGTCTCAATTTTGTGCATCCTATTGGGATCTTTTAAGCTAGCCACTTGCATGCATCAACGTTGTCCTGTTGATGTGCTCATTTTTCTTAGATCTGAACCTGATTCACTGTCATTGCTAGTCATTTTTTTCTTGACTTAATTGTGGATTAATAGTACTTATTCCTTTTCATTCATTCATGTAAGAATTTGGCTATGTGAAGGAATCAACTCTCAAGTATCATTGCATGGAGGGGAATCATTTTTGTTACAATTTTTTATTGTAATAAAATAATTTTTTTGCCAAAATAACTATTGAAGGGGCAAGTTTTCTGGTATCAAATTGTTGATTAATTTTTTTAAAAGAATTTAAGATCCATGTCTTTATATTTTTGAATTAATAGTGTTTCAAAGTATATTTTGGAACATGCAAGTATTTACACCTCTAAATTTAATTTCTGAATTTTTTTTACATTGTTTTTTCAGGCCTCACCAATTACCATTGGTGGAAAAAAGGCTGTTGTTGAAGAGAAGCGATCTACTCGAGGCAAGTTTTTTAATTGTCAAACTTAATAACGTAGGAAACAATTTATGGAATATTTGAAAAGGAGCTCGTTCATCTCTGCCAATGTTTCTGTTAATATACAGTCTTAGCAAGGGCATACATTTATGTTTGAATCTATGGTTTATGCTGATATGCACAATGTCATTTTGGGGCTAATAATAGTTCAGTATAACCTAGAATCTTGTGTGATAATCCAGTTTCTAAAATTTAATCCTTGGTATATCACCTTTTTAAAATATATTTTGCAAATAATGTGGCCGTTCATTATTTTGCAGTGAACAATAGAGCTCGTTCCTCAGCTGGTTCAGGAGTAGGATATAGGAATGATGGAGCAAGAGGACGTGGTAACTATGGGGGTGGCAGGGGCTATAACAGGGGTGATTTTGGTAATAGGGCTGAATTTGGAAACAGAAATGGCAGTCGGGGTGGATTTCCAAATCGTGGTGGTGATGGATATCAGAGTTATCGCGGAGGTGATGGATATCAGAGGGTCAATCATGTAGGGGGCAATGGTGGAAGTGTTAATCGCAGTGGACTGGCTGTTAATGCAGCAGCCAAGAATGTGGCGCCAAGGGTTTCTGCGCGTGCTTGAGGAAATTGTTGTGGTAGAACTGTGGTTAGGGGCAAACTCCATTTCTAGAGTAGGTTTTTGAAGTGATTGCATAGCATTTAGAGAAAAGCAGGGAAGAGTTTTCACAAACCAGTTTTCCATCATCATTTTGTCCATTTTACATAGAACTTTTTGTCGGTAGTCGATTCATACTTTTTTAGTGTATTACAAGGCCCATGCTTGTCGTAGGTTTCCTTCCGAGTTTAATTTTGAGTATTAGTTTACTCATAGGATTTTGATTTGTTGCTGTTAAATGATATAGATGCTGGAAGGCAGTGAAAATGGTTCTGCGGAACACATTCTGTGATCGGTTTCAGAAACTGACTACATTAGTTTGCTTTTGAATGTTCTATTATCCTGAATTCTTTGTTATCAATAACCTGTTTTGTTGGCTAAAGTGTGTTGTTAAGAAGTTGAAATCCCTCTGATGCCATATGAATGTAATCAATATGTTGTGCCATGCTGAATGCCTGCAGCGCTATTTGGATACAAAAGTTTCAGTATGTTACATTCGTTAGCCTTGAAGGTGAGTTTTATTTGACTCTTCTAGATGGGGCAGGTTGCTAGTGAGACTTTGGTAACCCATGTTATCCAATACAATGCTTCTCATATTAGAAGCTTGCTTGGTTCTTGTAGTACGTATGAATCGGGCTTTCTATGCTTTCATATTCAAGAGATTATATGCATCTCTAATCCCTTCCTCTTCCTCTTTTCTCTGAGCTCTCACCTCACTCCCTTCTCCACAACTAGTGACGAAAAACAAAGGTGAAAGTTGAACCTTTTGAGGGTTTCTCTTTCCTTCACAAGAGTTACATGGAAAGCTATGCATCTTGAAATTAATTCATTGGTCTGATAAAATACGTTATCGATCACGCGGATATTATGCGCTTGTTAGACAACTACCACTAGAAGGTCCAAGTAGAGGAGGATATGGCGTTGCTCAAATTTTACTAGTTCATTAATTCCTAGGAATATAGCTCATTCACCATCGCCCTCGGAGGCTAACCTTTAGCTAAGCTCCCCTAAGAAAGCTGTCATCGCCAAAAACTTCAAATAGCTAGAGAATTTTTTACCTTGCTGCTCGTCAACCAATAGAAGGTTGCCATGTGCTGGGTGTGTTTTACATGATATCGCTACCAACATTAATTAATTCGGTCAAAATGTTTGACTAAATTAACAAGTTTGTTGATTAAATGGATTGAGGTTGGGTGATTCGGTCTAATTTTTAATCGGTCAAATATTTTGTCCAAAATAATAGAACCGCAATGGAAGTCATAATTAGTCAGTCAAACATTTTGACTGAATTGTAAGAAATAATAAACAAATAATATTTTTCGATCAATTATTTTGACTAAATAAGTAAATACATTTTATTGGCTTTTTTAAGAGAAAAATATAAGTTTTTATTATTTATTCGGTCATATTTCTTGATCGAAGTAATTCTGCCGTTTTGTTCTGAGTGCTGAAGACTGAGGCCGGGTAGCAAGCATAGTTTGATCAAATTGCTTGACCGAATTAATCCTGCAATTTGATTTGATTACTGCAGATTGTGGCGCCTGCAGATTCTCTATCAAATTCATTGACTAAATTCCTTATATTGCAAATATAAGATTTATTCTGTCAAAATTGTTGGCTGAAATAATAAATTACTTTTCTGCAAAATTTTGAATTACTACGAAGGAAAAAACTTGTAAAATTTTCATTTCCCGCTTATCTTTTTTGTCAAATTTTTTAACCGAAATATGCTGTTAATTTTTTTGAATTCCTACCTTTAATAATTCTGTTATATTATTTGTCCAAAATTAAATTTATTCCCCCTTAATTTCATCTGAATTTGTTTGAAATTTCAACTGAAAATTTTGAAAATTTTGCCAAACTTATTTCAGTTAAAAAATGATCGAATTGTTGTGATGCCTAGAAAAATGCATCAACTGTCATAATTTTCATTTGTTTTCCCCTCTTTCTTCAACTCCTTCACTTCTTCTATTTTCCACTTTCCAAATTTCTTCAACTTTTCCCCCCTTCTCTTCACTTCCCCTTCACTTCTTCTTATATTCTACTCATTTTTACCTTTCTATATTACTATTTTCTTTTCTTACCATCATTTCTGTATTTCCTAATTACAAATTCCATTTTCTTCCATTCCTTTCACTTCCATTTCTTGTTATATTTGTTAAATTTTATTTAAAACATGTTATGTAAATTTATTTTGAGTTTTCATTATCTCATGTTTTTTAGTTTCTTATACTAATGACATATATTATTTTTTGTAGGATTTAATTCATTGTAAATTATATCTAAGTTTTCTAAATTTTTGTTTTTGTTTTTGTTTTTTTTTTTTTTTATCTTGCAATTTAATTTTGATATTTTAATTCAATTATTTGTGATGAAATTGACTCATTTGTGTGTGTGTGTGTGTGTGTTTTTTTTAAGTAAATGGAGGAAATAAAATGATGTATGATTTAGTTGCATTATTAACATGTGTAGGAATTAATTTCAAAATTTAACTTAATTAGTGCATAAATAAGTAAAAATTATATATTCTTGCCAAATTAAAATACAATTGTATGTATTACAAATATGATTATAGAATTTACTATTATGAACTATAGATTTTTAATACAATTTTTTAATTTATATATTACAATTTATATCTAATTATAGAAAATATTATTATTTTTTGGTTTCTGCTCATTATTTTGGTCAAATAATTTGACCAAAATAATTTCCTTAATATTTTTTTGTTTCTTAATTTGGTCAAATATTTGACCGGATTAATGGATTAAAATGTTATTTATTTATTCTCTTCTTTTATTGTTCCAAGGCCTTTATTTTGGGCAAAATTAATGACTGAATTATTTGGAGTTTTGGTCAAAATGAAATTTTGCTCGAATTGTTATTTCACATAGTGGATATTCAAATTAACAATTTGATCAAGCAACTTAACCAAATTGTTACTTATTTGGTCAAGATATTTGACTGAATAAGCCCCCATTTCTAGTTATGTCTGCACTCAAGCTTAGAAGAGCTAGAGGTGGCGATCCTACAACTCAAAACTTGTGTTCAAGACCAGCTCAATAAGAAAGGAGCAGTTTCGAACTATATTGGTTAAGATCAGTATCGCTAGTTTTGTTTTATCTTTTCCTATTGTTTCATTTGCCTAGTAGACCAACTATAACAGTGGTCCTAATTTAGTTTTATTGTCCTATTCTGTTTTTTCAAAGTGGGTCATAAATTAATCTGAAAAACTTTGACTCAACACATGAAATAAAAGTGTAGGGGATTAGATTTTTCAACTCGTACAACTTAGAAAGTGAGAAAAAAAGGTAAGTGTCGCTCTCAAGCTTCGAGCAATGTTGAGGATCATGATAACACCATTGGAAGTGGAAATTGGGGAGATGATTCATTATTACAAAATTGGAGTTATGATTGGGACAATTTAACCTTGCTTATTGAATGCCAAGCTTTTGTGAAAAGGTAAATTTTGATTAACAATTTCAAGCTTTAACAATGTTTGTCACTTGTGTTGTTGTTGAGGTGTGTTGAAATGTTTTTTTTTTTTTTTTTTTTTTTTTTTCTGTTTTATTATTTGCATCAACTCCAGTTATTAAATTTATCTTTTCACATATTTAGCTTCGTGGTCGCAAATTTGCTAGGAATTAGAAAAGAAAGGTGCTCGTATATTTCTAACTTTTACTACTATTATTTTAGTTGTGTTTTTGCTTTAATTTTTTAAAAATCAGACTAATTTGTTCATAAAACAAGATTTGTGTGCTCAAATTTTATAATCTGACATTTTTTTGGGTCCTTCAATAATCTAACAATAAATATTTGTACTCTTTTTAGGTTGAAATATAAAAGCGTATTTATTCTTAAGATTTAATTTTAGATGAAATTTTGAAATTAAATTTCTATAACTATTAATTATATGGGTTTATATGAAATGCACATCAGAAGGAATAATTACTAAAATTCGTTTTAAGTTGAGGTCTCAAAGATTGCTTTTAACCATCATTATCCAGTGTGAAATTGTAAACCTTTTTTTAATGGAGAAATTGAAAACTATTAATTCTTTGCCTAACCGTTCGTTCATTTTCTTTTTTCATTTTTCATTTTTCATTTTTTATGAATAGTAGTTCTATGATTTTTATTTGTTTCGTTATCTTTTATTAATATTTTTTTGGTCTTCGTTTTTTTTTTATTATTTATATTTATCTAAGAAAAACGTATTTATCAATGATTAAATGCTTAATTTGGTCTCTCAACTTTATGAAATGCACATTTTTGGTGACTCAACAATTTTTTGCACTTTTTTGATCCCTCAACTATATGAAATGCACTCCATTAATCTTTCTGTTAATTTGGGCCGTTAACCCTGCTTAGGTGGCATTTTTTATATTTTTTTGATGATGTGGAGAGCAAAACTTAAAAAAGTGATAATATGCATAAAACTTTTGCCATATCACATGCTACCCTGGCGAAAATGCGCTAAATCCATCCAAATGAGTCCCACATCACCACTAAGAATTGCTTCTTTGCCCATCAGTTACTGTTTTTATTCTTTCCATAAACGGTGTTCTTTCCATTTTCAATATTGAAGTTCGACAGAACCCAGCAGATCTGGGTTTGATGTAACCCAGCAAATAGGTTCCATCGAACCCAACTCGATTCACTGAACTCAATTGCCCAAAAATCCCTGCAATTTGGATAATTTGTTGGTAAACAATCATATAACAAAAAAAAAAAAAATCAGTTGCCCAAAACTCCCTCACAACAACTTGCAATTT